CTAGAGCGAGCAGAACTTGCTACTGTTTTTCGGTGAATGTAAAATACATTCACTGAAAAACAGTAGTGGCTTCTGTTCGCTCTGGTTCATCATGCTTAAGAGATAAAGATTTAAGTTGTTAACAAAAGTTGTAGCTAATAACAAAACCTACAAAAACTCCATACATCATTTTGCAAAATTCTGTCGATGAAAAAAGTTAGGGACAAATGAATGTAAATGAATGCACGAAATGAATGCAAATGATTTTCCATGCCTGTGTACAACACAAACAGCAACGGGCCAAGATTGATACCCTGTGGTACACCTGACGAGTTCGTGAAATACGAGGAAAAGCCAACATAATGTCATGGTTGATCGTATCAAACGCTGCTTTTAGATCAGTGTAGATGACGTCTATTTGTGCCACATTTTCCAGTTGCTCAAAACATGTCGTGGTAAAATCTAGAAGATTTGTGGTAACCGATCGTCCAGGCATGAAGCCATGTTGGTCACTAGAGATATAGCATTTGGTGTGCTCAAGAATGAAACCACTCACAATTATCTCAAACAGTTTTGATGCTGCAGAGAGATTAGTAATTCCTCTGTAGTTTTTAACGTCACGTTTATCTCCTTTCTTGTGTACCGGAACCATAAATGACTCTTTCCAGATTGCAGGAAATTTCGACTCTACAAAAGATTTGTTGAAGATTCTGCAAAGCGGTTCAACAAGCGCTCCAATGGTACGACAATACACTGCAGAAGGAATGCCATCTGGTCCAGGCGAGAAGGTACATTTCATTTTCTTGGCGGCATTAGTTACCATAACGGGCGTTATTTCAAAAGTGTTTTTTGTGCAAACGTCCACTACCTGTGTTCCTACCCTACCAGCTGTGTGTTGTATTGTATCCCTATACACTATCAATAAATAGAGTAGTATCTTGAATACCTCCGCCATGGCAGGACGGTGAAGCAAACTGTGTCTTTTATTCATACATCCCTAAATAAACACAACGTAGGAAAAGTTCTGCCCGTGCGCGATCATAATGGTGCCGAGACCAGCCGTTCGATACCCGCGGACAACGTTTTATCGAATTTCGATGTGATTGTCCTTTCCGTTGCAATTCCGGAGAAACACTTCTTAGTGCATCAGCATCAACTCTGAGGATTCTGCTTCCCTCCCGGCTACGATGGTGTGGCCACCAAGGTAGCCATCTAGCAGAGCATGTTCGCTCTTGGCTCATCGTGAACCGCAGGATTCTTGGCCGAGAAACATGCTCAATTCAACGGCGAGTGCGTTTTCCGGATTCTTGAGCAGTTATATGTGATCACTATAGTGTCATCAGTTTATTGTACGGACGAACAATACATCGAACCAGCAAAAGAAAGATCACAACAGAAGCCGTTCACGCAGGTTGCTTACGCTGTGGCAATATTGATGATTTATTGCCCCCGACAATGCATTGACAAATGTTTTAGAATAATTAAAGTCATTTTTTTAATATCATGTGTACAGTATAAAACCGTTGGTTTTGGGGGGGAGTATGTTTGTGCAAACGTCCACTACCTGTGTTCCTACCCTACCAGCTGTGTGTTGTATTGTATCCCTATACACTATCAATAAATAGAGTAGTATCTTGAATACCTCCGCCATGGCAGGACGGTGAAGCAAACTGTGTCTTTTATTCATACATCCCTAAATAAACACAACGTAGGAAAAGTTCTGCCCGTGCGCGATCAAGTGTTTATGTCAACAAGGTTTGAAGGCACATCCGAAACAGCCGAGACAAGTTCAGTCGAGGTGATGGATTATGCGGCAAAAACCGACGAAAAATGAGCAGCAAAAAGCTCCCATTTCTCCCCGCCTATCGACGATTCAACGTCATTGAAAAAAAACGCTTGCAGGCATTGTTGAATTTTTCCTCTTCGAGTTTACATAGCTCCAAAAGCTAGTTTGCACTCGTAAAACGTACGATTTGTAGAGCGAAGAGTTTAGATTACGGTACTCGTTACACGCCAAGTGAAAACTACGCTTATTTGCCAGGGAACGGTATCGCCAAAGTCTACGTTGCGAAGCATTTCTTTTTCGTTTTAGTTTTCATAGCAAAGCGGTGCTCCACGCAGGAGAAACAGCAGGCCGACGAATCGGTACGTTTGTATCCATCCAATTATTTAGCACAGCACACAAAGTTTCAGCCATTTCATCAGCATTCAGTCCATCGAAAAGAAGATCCCAGTCAGTGACGGAAAGGAAGTCCATTAGAACATCGAAATCAATCTTGCTATAGTCTAACGCAAGCTCATCACTCGCATTCAGCAGCAGTGCACCGTCATCAACTAGAGATGGTAAGCAGACGACTAGTGGCGGATGATGAAGATCAACTGGCAAGAGTGGTGAAACAGATCTCGAGATTTCCACAGGAAAGTCCGTATGGCAAAAGAACAAATCCAGGATGCGTCCTAAGTGGTTGCGCTCGAGATTTCTCTGATGCAGGTTGTGGAAATCCATGCCATCAATCAAGAATGAGCTAGCAACTGGTAAAGGAACAGAGTTCACAGGTCGAATCTCGCCATCAGCTCAACTCCAGGATATCCCAGGTTGATTGTAGTCACCGCATACCAGCAAGCAATCGCTGTCAGAGCCACTGTTACAAAGCTCTTGGATCGATTCAATTGCCCATTCAAAACGCTGAGATCCTTGCTCTTGTCTGGAGGAACGTAAATTGCACACAGCAATAGTCGCTTGGATCCAATCCTCGTCGATACACACACTTGTTCTATCGTTTCTCCGCTCGTTGCAACGACACTGCTACTGATGAAACGATGATGTACGGCAATTAGAACCCCTCCGAAACGAGATTTGCTGCTGTTTATATGGCTTCGGTCACATCGGTACACATTGTAGTTGCTTCCGAAAAGCTGCGTCGAATTGATAGCCTCGTTAAGCCCCGTCTCGATTAAAATGATGACGTCAAAATTGCACTCCAGGACGTTGCAGTAAAAGTGGTGCGCAGTCCACGTACGTTTTGGTAATAAAGCCATAAACGACTAGCGTCACGGGTCGTGTTCTGCAACATGGAAATATTTGGCGCGGGAATATTTGGTGAATGGTGCAGATACTCACCGTCCACAGAATGTCGCAAAGAATGATTATTGATAATGGTGCTAACCCTAGGGTTTCCACCGTCCACATGATAGAGCCTTAAGTATTTGTCAGTGGATTGCCGTTGGTTCCAGACTGGTTTTTTGAGTAGTCGGTGAATTCACGGAATAATATCCCATCAGGCCACGTAGAAGCGTCGAGAGCTAGTTCTTTCAGCGATGGATCCAAGCCAACTTTGAAGGAAATGAAAGTCAGCTTCGTCATATCCACTTCCTTGGGAACGAGACGCACGACGTCAGCAGGTGTTGTTAGATCCAAGCAGCGAGAAGTAATTTTTTGAATGTCCTCAGCAGTTATTAATGGGTGTAATCCGGACAGGTAGAGCCAGAACTTTGGAGGGGAGATCGGTGGTGTTAGACACGGTACAGACAAGTCACTGAGATCAATTACATTGGTCCCACGCACAGAAGAAGTGCCAATCGGTCCACCTTCATTACCACGACGACGTTTAACACCAAGTCTGGGCCAGGTATTTCCCTTCCTTGATCGATTCGATGGTCGCTCAGCAGGAATATCCATGGAAATGCACTTGTCAACTTTATCACTCAGCGATTCCACCAAGTTGAACAGTTGTTGAACCTGAGCCGGTAAGCCATCAGGTGACGGAGTCGTGTCGTGTGCGAGCTCATCAGTAAAATACTGTTTCACACTTCTGCCATTCATTTTATCCCGGCAAACGAATACAGCCTTGCCTTGCGAGAATAGGTCTTTGCTCGCACGACTGAGGTTGAAACCACAACATTGCATACTGATGTGGAAGTAAACCTCACAAAAGCCGCAGCGCAACGGCTCGATTTCGTTGATTTCCAACTGGCATTCTCAGCATTGTTTTTTCTCCATCCTTACAGCGAACAAAACAAAACTCAGTGAACAGCAACAAATGATAGCGTTAGCCCGAATACAGGAATGTGGTTGAAAATTAAATCCTTCGGAATCGTCCAAAACAGCAAATTCACAAATCAACTCCACAATTTAGCGATGAAAGCAGGTCCAGATAATACGTCAACGTTGAAAAAACGATTAAAAACTACAGTCAAACGAATTAAAAATAACTTTTAGCGGACACAATGTTAACGCAAAAGTAACACACAATGGAAGCGTTTGGAATATTGTAGAAATGAATGTAAAATTTGATCAAAAAGTATTCTTTTGATAAATTAAACAAGTTCTACCATTTTCATTTGTTGAAAAAAAAATAATACAGGAGAAAAAACAAAATATTATTTGTTTGAAACTATTCCGTTTTCTGTTGCTTTATTTTTGCTACCGACGCCAGGGAGGCAGGTCCCACCCTAGACCCAACATATCTACCCTTTTACTCATGGACCGGCGACCAACGGCTTTACTTCCCAGGCGGCGCCGGTGATGTAGCAGAAAGCGTGATTGCCTCTCACTCCAATGGGCCTGGGTTCAATCCCAGTTGGCACCGTTGCTTGCCTGCTTTATTGCAATATACATGGTTGAGGACATAGCTTGATCGGAATCGAGAAAAGACATAACATAAAAATTTCTATTAACACACGTGTATTACCTTTGGCTTTACTTCGTGAAGCAGCTTTCCAACAATTTGATCGTTTCCTTCTACTGATCCGAGCGAGCTGTGTTGCAGAAGCTGTTTGTCATGAAGAAAAAGGAAGAAGATTATATCATTATTACTTTCCATTTCTAACAAAGCGTTATCGTTAAGCTCGTTGATCGCTTGCAATTTTGTCATTTGGAGATTTTTTGGATTCCTTGGTTAAACGATTGATATTATTGCCCCGTGCAGTGAAAAATCCCAATAATCCCAAAAAAAAAAAATCATCAAGGTAGTCCACAAAGTAAACCCCTATCCGTTATTCAAGAATGACATTAGTCCATGATGCCTGATTCCAAACTACGCTCATTTTTCACCCGAACCACCCACTATCAAGGCCAGGTGGACGCAGCAAATAGCAAATCCGGTTTCGGTAAACAATCCCAATCGAACGGTTTACTCTACGAGGGCCAATGGACGAATGGTTTGAGGTTAGTTACCGCTTAAGATATGATGTAGGCAACAGTGATGCATTGTGCTTTTGTTTTGCCAGACATGGACACGGAATTCTCTATCGAAAGCAACCGGATACGGAACTGTTCGTTAAAATATACGCCGGTGGATGGGAAGGCGGGAAGAAGCATGGACTCGGTGTGAAATATTACCGAAATGGGAAATATCTCGGCTGCTGGGAGCAGGATCAACGCAGCGGACAGGGGTTCATGTGGTTCGACAGTGGAGACTTCTATATTGGTGAATGGATTGAGGACCGCTACGATGGGTTGGGGGTGTTTCTTGAGATCGGTGGGAATCGGTATCATGGTCAGTTTAGAGGGGGCTTGAATCATGGTGAGGGATTGTACCTTCATATGAGAACGGGCCAAATTCAGAGAGGTTTCTGGAATGAAGGTGTCTTCAAAATGGGTGTAATTGAAGATTGGAATAGGAATCAAGCCATCGAACCAACTGCATATCCAATTCCGGAGGTTTGTGTCTAATTAACGAATGAGTTGAAATATCTGTCGAATTAACTAAATTTCAGATAAATCTCGCAAACTTTCCTGAGGTGTACCAGAAATGGCTGGAAGAATATTCAAAATCCTTCATAGTTTAATGCTTCCAGGGGTAAAATTGCTTTCAAGTGCTTATGAATATATTTTTGCACGGGATAAATCCAATTCTGCAGGTTCCTTGAGCACGTCCTCCTAGGTGTCTTTTGCACGAGTAGATAAATATTGCGAGGGTGTATTGTCAACATTTATCTGTGGGACAACTTTCTTCCGGCTGCCACTGGAGCGGAATTCCCAGTGTGTTCTACCGTTCTTGGTACGTGGTCAAACGTTTTCAAGATTTATCGTTGGTGTAATCACTTCGGACGTGTGGTTGCTTGAGGGTGCGTGCATTCGTGCGTGTGGCATAAAATAAAACCGAAGTTTAAACGGTCCCTTGACTCGGGAGACGTTGATCCGATACACGTGAATGAAAAACAAATGTTCAATAGTAAAACTAACGTTGGAAACCTAAACCAAGAACTGGGTGTGCTAAGCGCCGGAAAAAGCAGAGATGCAAATTCTGAGATATTTAAATTAGAAGTACACGAATCAAACGATCAATTCCAGCTCCGTGTATCATGATTGATGGAGACACCCGGTGCTTTTCAACAACCAACTGACCTGGGTCCTCATCTGATCTGGATGCACAACTTTTACAGAGCAAACAAATAAGGCCATCAAGTGAAATGATGATGGATAGCACTCTCTAGCACTTCTTGAGAACAAGTGCCACAGCAACAACAACAATAACATTATCTTCCGAATAAACTACAGTCATCACTCACTTGTGCCCAACCAGCATCGTGTCCCATTCGCTCCCTAGTTATCCTTCGTGACACGACCGGGACTTTGCACGCCATCCCAGAGAGGTTAACAACAACAAGAACAACATCGGGATGCCAAGATCCTGGAACGTGCCAAAATTGCCACAGCATGGACAGCATCCGAGCAAAGCAGAAACAGATTACTTTTGCGTGACTAAATGCGATAAGACCTAAACATCCGCATGTCCATTTGTCACATTCTCGTTCTGTTACTTTTCTTTCCATCTCTGTGTCATTGTCGACTACACATTTGAGTTTTCACGCTGAATTGGAGTGAAGAATTCAGTGATTTCAATTCCCATTCGACAGGTACCTACATCCTTCGTAGCTGGGACGCGTAAATTGTCACCTGCACACAACACGGTTAGCCACGACGATGGACGAGCAAGAGTGCCAACAACGGTGCACCATAGTGGCATGTTTCCTTTCCGTCCCAAAGAGTATGTTTTATGTAATTGATCCTGTTTCCCAGTACGGGTTCCTTCCGGCTCTCCTCGGGCGGCTGACTGTGACGTCGTGGTCGTCGTCATCGTCGTCGCTGTTGTAACAAAAGAGCCGGTATAATTCATGGAATGATGTCGTTAGAAGGCGGACGGCCATCACTCGAACCAGTACCGGTGTGGAGCGAAACAGGAAGTGACTTGTTTGTTTTGCTGTGAACAGCCTCCCGAGGTATGCAGTATGTACAGAGCATCGACGGGTGCACGAGTGTTTTTCCGCCCCAGAAGAGGCACCAAACAACAAGCAAACAACCGTCATCGTCAGCAGTAGGCATGACGTAAGGAAGCCTCGGTACACGTAGAGGAAAAACATGAAAATTCTGCAGCAAGGTGTGCAATTGAGTCGCTCCATCATCGTCACCATCGTTAAGAGGGAAAATGTTGGTGTTAGATCCGGCTGTGAAGAGTCCCTACTCGGTAGTTTTAGATGGTTGCCTTTGTTTTGGTGCGCCATGCCTTGCTGTTATTCCCAGTGGAACTGAAACCGGGCAGTTTTTCGATAGCAACTTGTCAGTTTTTGACGGTTGCGAGTAGTTTAAAGTGTCGTTTGTATGTCCTCGTTTCTCTGTAGCCATGGTTCGGTTAAGGTGGAAATGAAATTAACTAGCTTAATCTAACATTTGAAAACCATGCTTGGCAACCATTTCAGAAAAATTGGAATAACTTAGGGGAGCAAAGAATCTATAAATTTTGTTCGAAATCGTAGAAAGTACTGAAAACATTAGAAAATCTCGGAATCAGTTCGAAAAGTTCTGAATCACTTTGGATGGTACAGACATAATTGAGTATGAGAATGATTAACCGCTCGCGGTTGCTAATCCGTTATTGTTAAATCACCTGTATAACACAGAGAATCAACAAACGATGCATGGTGATGTCATACTTTGCAATAGGCAATAACAGCGCTGACCGCGTCCAAATGTAGGTCAATTAGGGAATGGATAGGAATGTCTTGACGTGATTCTCGCTTTATTGAAAACCGAAAATCCTCCTCACTTCCACAAATTCATCAAAAACTTTTTAACAGAATTGACTTAAGGAAGTATTGATTCTTATCGTTGTGACACATCGCCTCAGCCTCGATTTTGGCAACATAGATGAAGTGCAGTCGACTCTCCACAATTCGATGTCCACTAGCTCGAGATTGCGTTATAGAACCATGGAAAAAATAATGTCGTGGCTTCTGCGATAGCGAAATTGTATGGGATTGTTATTCTATAACTCGATGTAGAGTTGTAGAGAGTGCACTGTACTGAATTACATTGGGAAAGTTTGGAATCACTTAAGAAAAGGTAAGAATCACTTCAGAAAGTACTGAACTACTTGAGAAAAGCTTTGGATTACTTTAGACATTAATGACCCATTACAGAAAAGCTTAGCACGTACAGGATCACTTAAAACATTACTGAAGTTTGGAAAAGTTTTGAATAATTTTGAAGCAAAAAATGGAAACACTGGATCCGTGTATTCAGCCCATACAATACTTAATCATTTCTGAAAAGCTTGAGTTCAGTAGGGAAAATGTTGAATCGCTCAAGGATAGACTCACTTCCGAAAGTGGTAGATTTTCTGGACTCATTTAACACTATCGGTAGTAATGCTAAACCTTGCAAACTAGAACCTTATGTAAACGTAACACTCTTTCACTGAACCAGTAAACGTATTGCCTGTTTAGATTTCCAACGGTAACATCGATTGTAACAGCACAAACATCTCTGGTTGTTATTTCAAAGATTTGCGTAGTGACGATTGCATTATTGACAAGCACACATGCTCAAAGAGTTTGGCATTCCACTGCTGCTAAAAGTATCAAAAGTTGTGTTAACGAGGTTTTCTAGATAAAAGTTTCCATTGCCATTTTACAATGATCTACATAGATTTAACGTTACTGTTCTTTTATGCTATCTTAACAGTATTCATAACTCATAACTACTCATCACAAATCCATAACTCCAGCATAAATTGAACAGCAACGTTGATAACAAATTGTTAATGATTTCTAAAACATCCGTTTTGGTAAGTTCTTTTGTGGAAATGACACTTAAAGGAGTAAGGTTTTGATATGTTCTTTAGTGGGAATGATACTGGTGAAGACTGCATATTGTAGTCGAAATACGTATCTGTCATAGATACCAAAATTAATTAAGTGGATTTACCAGATAACCTTTTTTGCTGTTTTATTTGAAGCATTCCGCTAACAACCCAATTTCATTACTTCACTGGGAACTTACTTATAACTAAGAACTTTGTTTTACCCGAGGTTTTGCCCACGGATTCATGTCCTTTGGAACAAAATGGACAGAATTGGCCTCATACCACTCCAGGACACTTTTAGAATAGTGGCATGATGCCAAATCTAGCCAAAATAGCGGAGCTTCGTCGTGCTGCTGCAAGAACGGCAAAAGACGCTTCTCGAGGCACTCAGATTTGTAGATCTCGCCATTTACTGTGCCCTTTGTCACGAAAGGCTCACTCCTCAGTCCGCAAGAGCAGATGGCCTGCCAAATGAGATATTTGGAGGTGAACTTCGACATTTTCTTCTTCTTAAATTTGTCGTCCACATCGAACTTGCTCTTGCCGGTGAAAAACTCCAACCCCGGAATTTGCTTAAAATCGGCTTTTATATACGTTTCGTCGTCCATCACACAGCAGCCATATTTTGTCAGCATCTTCTCGTAGAGCTTCCGTGCCCGAGTTTTAGCCGTCGATTGTTGCCGCTCATCGCGGTTTGGGAAGTTCTGTACCTTGTATGTATGTAGTCCAGCTCTCTTCTTTGCATTCTGGACGTAGCTCTGCGACATGCCGATCTTTTTAGGCAAATCACGGCTTGAGACGTTGGGATTTGCTTTAATCATCCGCTTCACCTTTCCCTCCGTCTTTTTGTTCTCCGGTCCCGGTTTTCTTCCAGCTCCTTTGCCGTGGTCCAACGTCAACCGCTCCTGGAACCGCTTCAACACTCTGGAGACGGTTGAATGGTGAATGTTCAACATTTTTCCCAACTGCCGGTGCGACAGGTCAGGAAATTCCAGGTGTTTGGAAAGAATTTGTTCTCTCAACTCGCATTGGTTCACCTCCATTTTCGTTGAATCGAAAAACACGACTTCGAGTTTGACAGCATGTACACAATACACATCAATGAGAAAGTGTGCAAAATTTGGTTGATTTTTACCCAATGGTAAAAAAGTTATGCCCTGTTGAATGTGTCGCAATAATTTCGTGTTCACCCTTTAAAACTGTGAAGGCAAAGCATGTTGAAACCTGCTGCCTATTTGAAGATGGTAGAATAATTCTAGTTTTCAAAATCGAAAGAGGGTCGATGATTGTTCGTGCAGGCGACTACTACTACCTCTACCCTAAACATAAAGTAGCTACTGTACCTACCCAGATGTCACCATTTGTCCCCGTATTGTTTGTTTTGTAGTTTCCTTGTTATGTTACAATAAATAATCGTTTATAGTTCTCATACCTCTGCCATGGCAGGCCGTATGAGTCAAATAATAGTTCTCGTTTCAATTAATTATCACACAACGTACAAATCGGGTGCTATCTGTGCGCGATCAATGATCGATTATCTCTTTTGTTAACAAATCGGCTGGATTAACATTTCTCT